AAATAACTGAAAATCAAGTTTTAAAAGACCATACTTACCCTTGCTACATAGGATGATCTCTGTTCTATTTCCTCTTTCGAAGAATCAAAATGCTACACACTAACCAGATTTCCCCGCCCACTAACTGGCCATGGCCTGCAGCTTAGAAAACCTTGAAAGACAGGTGTCTGGAAAGCAAGAACCCTGCTGAACCCTTGCAGCAGCACACAGGGGACCACAGCAATGCTGTCTGCACACAAGGATCATGCCCGGATCTGAGCATCAACCTTTCCCCAACACAAAGGAACAGCGTGGCTGTAGGGACCCCCAGATCCACTCAGATCCCCAGGAGCCTGTTCCCCCGCCTCCTTGATCACCCCTAACAACAGATTGGCAGAAGTAGAGTGTGACATTTATTACCTGCACATATTCCCACCAGAAGTCTGGACAAAATGATCATCTCAAACGACCCGGCGACTTTGCTGCAGACCATGAGGATCGCGGGCACGATGGAAAAGATGTTGTTGAACAGCAGGGTACCTTTTCTGCAGGGGACACAGCACCAGGAAGCGTGGCTAAAGGATCTGTTCACCGATTCAACCAACACTCACCGACCGCCTCCTCTGTGCAGGCTCCCCGAGTCACAGTCGAGGGCTTGGCTGTTGTGAGGTCAACCCTCCATGACTTAAGATCTACCTAACTCAAAGGCATGGCATCGGGTGGGCAGATTCACTGCGCTGCAGCAAATGGAAAGAACCCAAGTTCAGAGGGTGTCGTGGTGAGAGTGGAGGAAAAGGGATGTTGTTATCAATACAGGAAACAGTTATGGAAGTCATAAACTAGCTGATGGCTTTAGTATAATTTTGAAATCCAGATTGGGCCAGGGCATCATTTCCAGAAAAGCAAATTATAGGCCCAGCTCACTTCTCACCCAGACCCAATGCCCTTGAGTTGATTGCAACTCACAGTGACCCTATGGGACAGAGCAGCACTGCTCCTGGGCTCTTTCAAAACTGCAAAGACTGCCTCATTTTCCCCCTGTGGACCCACCTTGCAGTTAGCGGCCCAACACTTAGCTCACTATGATGCCCACTTATCAGTATAGGTGCAGAAAGCATAAATGAAATACAAACAAGTAAAATTCAATAGCGTATTTTAAAAATCTTTCAATGTGTTTCACGATATTAAAGATTGCAGCCTTCAGTATGGACTGCAACCCAATGTAAAAAAAAACAACCCCCCAAAACCCAAACTTCTCACAACTGGACAACTGGTAGCATCCTAATAAACAGAGAAGATTGAAGTTGTCAAGGATTTTGTTTGGCTTGGCTCCACAATCAATGCTCGTGGAAGCAGCCATCAAGAGATCAAACGACACCTTGCGTTGGGGAAATGTGCTGCACAAGACCTCTCTACAGTGTTGAAAAGCAAGGACGTCATTTTGAGGACTAAGGTGAGCCTCCCTCAAGCCGTATTATTTTCAATCGCCACATATGCTTGTGAAAGTCGGGACGCTGAATAAGGAAGACCGGAGAAAAATCAATGTGCTTGAATTACGGTGCTGAAAGTAAGGGGACACCACGGACCGCCCAAAGAACAAACAAATCTGTGTTGGAAGAAGTACAGCCAGGATGCTCCTTAGAAGCAAGAAGGTCAAGATTTTAGCTCATGTACTTTGGACGTGGCAGGAGACCCCAGGCCCTGGAAGAGGACATCAGGTTTGGTAAAGCAGACATGAAAATGAGGAAGCCCCTCAACAAGCTGCACTAACACAGGGGCTACCAGAAAGGGTTCACACAGAAGAACAACTGTGAGGATGGCGCAGGACTGGGCAGCGTTTGGTTCTGTGGCACACAGCTCTCTATGAGTTGGCACTGATTCCACAGCACCTAATAACAACAACACCAAAGATTACACAAGGGGCCTTGCTGGCGACGGTTGAGCACTTAGCTGATAACGGAAAGACCCACCCCAGGAGAAAAGCCCTTTGCTCCCAAAAGAGTAGAGCTTAGGAAATGCCATGGGACAGTTCTACGCCGTTACACTGGGCCATTCAATGGTACCCGTCAGCACCAAAGATGACACATTGAAATGGACGAATGAATAAACAAAATGGTCTGTCCACACCACTGGACACCACTCAGCCAGAAGGAGAGGGGAGGTCCTGCTGCATGCATCAATCACGCTGATTGAAATA